AAAAAGATGATGTCACCCATGGGGGGAAAAGAAGCAGGCAGGAAAGGCCAAGGCGGACTAAGTGGACGTGGGGGTTGTGCAGGCTTAGCACAAAAGGTTGAGCTCTGAGGTCGAACACAGTGCCAGCAGTGTGGCCCTGGGCAGGTGGCTTACGCTCTCCTCGCCTCTGTTTCTCATCTCAAAACGAGCACTACCAGGTTGTTGTAAAAGTTGAATCTCAAGCTTGGCTTAGTAAGAGCTCAAACCGTTTTTTAGCTCCTGCTGCCCTGTAAGAGCCAAAGGTTATTTCTTTAAAGGAAATTTCTGAAGCCTGAGAGAAAACCCTGCATTTCCTGTACTGGCAGAAATGTGGCAGGGGGCAGTGTGCGCTGACCTGCTGAACTGCTAACGCTACGCAGCCGTGCATCCTGGGAGAAGTGGGCGGGGATCTTATTTACCTGTGGGAACAGTGGTTATTGGGGTCTTGACGTTTCCTCTGTGTCTACAGCCCTGTTTTTTTCTTAAAATTGTGTTACTTTCACGTGATAAATCTCATACTTTGGAGAGAGTCATAGCCCATCAGTATGAAGCCACCGTCCTGCAAAAGGGGAGAAGTCACCAGAGGTCTTGGGGCCACGTGGTGCAGGAGCCCGTCACCTTCACCTGGTTTTATGTCACAGCCGGAGAACAAAGTTGACAGATGAGCTCCAGAAGTGCATCCTCTGTGTCAGAGGTGGCATGGGTGAATAAATAAAGTCATCTGGGCAGTCCCCAATGACAGTAATGACAGCTTATCTCAGCCTAGATGCCCAAGACTTAATCCAAACCCCTGTGTCTTTGTGACTTGTAATGCAAGCAGTGTTTTAAGGAATTATTTTGGAGGAAACTTAATTGTCCCCTACAGTTTCCAAAATGCTGTATCAACAGTTTTATTTATTATAGTTTTCGAAACTAAATGAAAAAGAGCTGGGCAAAGGGAGCTGCTGCTGCTTCTTTTATCCCAAAGGAAAACAACAACCAAAAAAAAAATGTTTTGATCATTTTGAGTATTTTAGTAAATGGAGAATAACAAAAGAAATGGAATGTGAATGCTCCATTGTTCTCACAGATGTGCAGTTCTAAATAGTTAGGATCCCAAAATGCTGAAATTATAACCAAAAATAATCTGAATTTTGTGAGTAAATTGAATTGAATGCAAAGAGAAACAGCAGAAGCCCATTTTCGACCGTTGTTCTAGCATTGTGGAAACACTGATTGCAGAAAAATACAGAACATGACTCGCAGCTGCTTCCTTCTCAGGCCTTCAGAACCGCGGGCTGCCTCTTCTTTGGGAAGGCAGTGCTGGCCAGTGGCCAGGAAGGGGTGGGCTTCAGAGCCTGACAGGCACATTCAGTCCCACTGGGCTGCTCTGTGTGGCTTTGCACACGTGGCTCACCCTCTCTGAGTGGTCCCTCTTCCTATCAGTCCAATGCCGACCGTCATCCCTCCAGTGCATATAAAAACACAGGGGACTAGTATTATAGGGGCTAACACTCTGCACAATGACAGACAGGGAGGAGGGCCGTGGCAGTACCAATGACAGTGACAAGCTGCGGAGGTGACAGTGGTGATGCTTTGCTTTGCCTCCCCAAATCATGAGCCCAGAACGTAAGCTATTTGCCAGGAGATGCTAATATCCTCCAAAAGGAGAACAAGAAGTGCGTATGTGCTGGGCTCAATGTCCAAACCTGTGATCCCGGCAGGAGGCTGCGGCAGGAGGATCATGAGTTCAAAGCCAGCCTCAACAACTCAGTGAGGCCCTGAGCAAATCAGTGAGACCCTGTCTCTAAATAAAATATAAAAAAGGGGCTGGGGATGTAGCTCAGTAGTTAAGCACCCCTAGGTTTAATCCCCAGTACCAAAAACAACAACAACAACAGAAAAATGAGTATACATATTTGCAAAGACCAAGTTCCCAAAGAAGCTGAGACAAAGCTGAAACAAGCCAAGAACCAGCTCTGATTTCTTTTTCTGGACTCTCTTTTCCCCCTCCATTTCCTGCCTCGATGCACTGGTTTGTAGTACACTGTCTGAACCCTCTGCAAAATAGTCCAGGTGATCCAAGGACGACAGCAGGAAGAGGCTGCGATTCCAACCTGTCGAGGGTTTTTGCTGAAAACCAGAGAGAGGTCCTCAGAGAATGAGGCCTGAGCAGGGTGCACACGGGCTCACCTCCTGATTTTTTTTCCTCTAAATTTATTTAGCTCAGATTCAGAAATAGATAATATTCAATAGAAGATTCACTTTAGTAACTAGGAAAATACTGATCATGGTTTTTAATTCTGATTTTGGGTGCGTGCCATGCCTTGTTAAAGCTCTGAGCAGTTCAGCCCTCAAAGGAGAGCATCAGTAGCTAATACCCGCATTCTAGTAGGAGAAAACCATTACCTAAATTTATATGTGAATGATTTTGTAATTTGCAGAATAATAACGTGTGATAAAGTGAATCTTCAGCAGAGAACCAGGTTGGATGCTCTGAATACCAAATGGGTCAACTCACAGGGAGAGCCACCAAAGCCTGCGTGTCACATTATGATTTAATTGAAAAGAGGATCCACGGTGCTTGCTGGTGTTAATTGACAAACCAGGACTGTCTTGTGACACTTTCGTATGAACATATTGCTCAGAATAATTAAACCCACAAACCATATGTATGGTCTTCACAGAAATAGTAGGAAAATGTTGACAAGCCATCAATGAATTCTTTTATCGTCTGGGCAATTGATGCCAATCTCTTCCTTTCCTTTCTCTGCTTTGCTCATTTAAAGAGTTCCAACATAGATAACAAGGTGTCGGGGTTGATCTGGATGACCTGAGAGCACTGGGATTCTTGAAATAACGAGGTAGTGCTGAGAGGGTCCCCGCCCGGCCCCTCCCCCGGAGGATCAGTGGAGGCCGTTGGAACTCGGTTTCCTTTAGGTTTAATTGATCCAATTAGTTTGGGCGCACTCTATCCAGATTGAGTCGCTTTCCACAATAACGAATCTGTTTGTTCTAGTTGTGTGCTAAGCCATCACTGAGTCACCGCTGCGCTAGGTGGGGGATAGCGCTCCTGTCCTTTGGCTCCGCTGAGTGGGGAAAAGACAAGCAAACAAGGAATAATGTAGAAGAAAGAAAGTCCTGCTGCAGAGCCTGGTGGGCCACAGGAGAAGAGTGGGGGATAGAGAAAGGCCCCCGAGGGCTCCTTTCTGCTGTCCTGTGCAGTGGGGAATAAAACGTTGTCACTTTCATGAAATTCATCTCATTCAAACTATATGACTAAATTATATAATGGTAAATGTAGAGAAGGATCATTTCAACATTGTTCTAAAAACCAACTTGGAGGTCATTTTGGGGATGGGGGGGGTCAATACTCAAATCTTTTCAGAAATGGAAAAAAAAATAGAAGGACTTTACCTGCATCATGACGTCATAACCCAAATTCTAAATGCACCTCTACCTCATAAAGGAAGGGCTGCCCAGTGTCCCCGCCTCTGTCCTCACTCCAAGCAGCTCTCCGACCTCACGCGTAGAGCAGCAGCTGCGGATGGACATGTCTGAGCTCATGATCTCCGCTCCTGTCCCTGGCGACACCCCTAGGCCCTGCTGTCCCTTGTGTTCCAGTGCTGGGCCCGACAGAGTTGCGCTTCCTGAGAGCCGTGTCCTGGTCTCTCACACCAGTCTCCTCACTCACCTTCCGCTGTCTGTCGTCTTCCCTCTTTATCCTCCAAAGTCTTATCCACATGGGGTCACAGTGGCTTTAGCTCTAAAGCTGCTGTGTGTCCCGGTCACTGTGCATAAGGGCTCCCTATGGCACAGCATCAAGCCAATGCCATCTGAGGGAGCTGACCCCACCTTCCCAGCCCACTAGCCTGCTGAGCCTGCTCCTCTGTGCCTTTCTGTTGCTGCCACCTCTACCTGCACAGCTCTCCTCCCCCCCACCTTCACCTGCGCAGCGTGACTTGTCCTTCCCGACCCTGGGTCAGGACTCCTGTGCCCGGGGCTGGCCTCAGGCTTGGACGCCCTCCCTTGACTACCCGTGAGTTTGGGGCGTCTCTGTGGTGAGCACTGAGCTCTCTGGCCTGTCCCTCCCATTTGGGGAGACCTTGGGTATCTTTTTCCCAGTGTCCAGCACAATATGCCCTGGTGAAATGAGACTGTTTGGGTGGTCATGCGTAACAGCAAAACAAATGGAGAACAACAGAGTCAACCATTCGAGTGTGTTTTACTTCCTGGTGTCAGGAGGACAGAAGGCCTGGTTAGACCAGCCCATCTAATGAGCCTAGAATAGGAGGGTCTCATAACACCGAGCCTTCACCTCTTGTTTCCATTTGCCGACACGGGAGAGTCCATCTAACTGACTTGCTCTGTGGGGACATCTCGGGATCCCTGCTGTCCTGTTTCCACACAGCCCCCGGCCATCTGCCCTTCAGTGTTCTCCAGGGGCCTCTGACTTCCCAACATTTTAAAATTAGACAGACCTCTTAGAATGCCACACACTGCTGACTGCACTGCTCCTCTAATCTCTTCTGTGGGATTTCCACACCGACACCTGTCCTCTCTCCTGAGGGGGCACGCAGCAGGGGCACTTCTTTTTCCAGCAGGTGGCTTAGACATGAGTCACAGTCCCTGACCCTCATGACTTCCTGGCGCCTGGTGTTTCCCAGCTCAGGACCCAGTCTGCGCTATTCGTGGGAGAGTGTGCGTGTGCGTGGGCACATGTGCCAGTGAGCTCGTGTGTGCACTGGAGGATGAGGTGGCAGGAGTGGGGGTGGCCCCACACGCACCACAGGGGAGTGCTCAAAGTACACACTTCTGAACCAGCCCCCAGGGTCTCCTCCGAGTTCTCCCTGACCACCCGCCCCTGTGGGGGCCTTTGGGAGCCTCATAGATTATCTGCAAAATGAGGAGGTCAGCCCCTGCCTGCAGCACAGCCTGGAAGCTCACACGCACGTATCATTGCAACTTGACGTTCATCTTTTCTGTTGTTTTTGTCTCCACAGGGGCCTCATTGCCAGTGGTTTCACGGAGACCCATTATCTGCAAGACGGTACTGATGTCTCCCTCACTCGAAATTACACGGTAATTCCTTCACTTCAGACCAGCGGAACTCTGTGCTGTGGAATCTGTGCTTAAACTTGGGAGCCATTTTATTCTGAGCAGAATCAGAAGCCCAGACTTTTCACTTAGGTCCCAAGAAGAGTTTGTACATCCCTTAATGTTTAGCCATTCCTTTGTCACTCCAGAAAAATTTGGTTTTGTCCAATGTACGTGTCAGAACAGCTGTGGAGGGTTTATGGCAGGGACAACCCTGGAACCCCTTCGAGGCCTCGGGTGTTCATTTGAGTGAGTTCCTTTTTAGAAAACCCAGCCAAAGTCAGAGGTCACCTGCAAAGCAGTCCTACCTGGGCTGAATTTTGGCACATTAAACTTTAAAGTTCCTTAAAGAAATTTAAGAGAAAACTGACTGACTCTGCTTAACTTACTGTAAATGCACCCACAATGTTGATGGGATTCTATGTCAAGAGTTTTACTGGATATGGCATTCCTCACTGCCTGATCAGCTTTTCTGGTATTTGAACTTTTACATGTAATGAGAAAATGCTCATTTTATTTGTTCCTTTAGCGATTATCGTGCATTGTCTGTGTGTGCATATGGCCCCGTGTGTGAAAACAGAGACTCAGAGAGGAAAAGACAAAGTCACTGTCCTCTGAGGATAGGAAGTTCCCTTGCTCTGAAAGCTGTGGGGGTTTGGTTTAGAAGTATGTGGTGGAGTCAGGCTTTACGTCTGCCATGGAAGTGCTGGCAGGTCACCCTCATTGTCTCCAAGGCCTCTCTTTCTGCATGTTGCCCACACCTTTCTTTAAGTGTGTTTGGCACCCAGCACTTATGAACTGGCGCTTCCCCCTCCCGGGAACACAGTGGGATATGCTGCTGCAGACCTCCCAGCCTGCATTGTTCAGCTTTCCGTTGCTGTGACAAAATTCCTGAGAAAAATCATCTTAAAAAAGAGGAGGATGAATTTTGGCTCCTGGTTTCAAAGGTTTCAGTCCATGGTCGCCTGGCCCTGCAGCTTTGGGCCTGTGATGAGGTGGAAGGGCGTGGCAGGGAATGCAGGGCGTGGCAGGGAATGCAGGCCGAGGCGAAGCTGGGAAGCAGAGACAGCAAAATGGGGCCTGGGACAAAATACTCCCTTCAGGGCACACCCCAGGGACCTGCGTCCTCCTGATGTTTCCACCTCCCAACAGCCGGTTCAGTTAAGATTCCTCCAGTTGGTGAGTATATGGATGAGGACAGATCCTCACCACCCTGTCACCTCCCAAAGGTTCCGTCTCTGAACACGGCAGCACCAGGGACCAAGCCCTCACTATATGAGCTTTGGGGGACCTTCCAATCAACATAGCCCAGATGAGGCCCACAGGAATCCCGCATGGAACATGAGCATCTAGGAGTCGTGTCAGTGCCTGGTCAGACTTAGAAGAGAACCATGGGAATCCTCCAGAGGGGAACCAAGAGGGGAAATGAGCTCAGAGCACTGGCGTTGAGTGGGGCCAGGGGACCCCAAAGGGCTGTTTAGGAACCAGAGAGAGAACCCGGTACGTGGGACAGGGACAAGAGAAGTGGGCGTGTGCGGCTGTGAGTCTCGCAGATTGTGGCCCCCAGTCTGTGTTACAAAAAAAGGAAGAGAGGGAGAGACAGACAGGAAGAACCCTCCAACCACAGAGGGGCACGAAAGAACTGTCCGCCAGGTATTCTGAATTGAAAAAAGATTTCCAGAAAAAAAATGGGAAACTGAACCCCATCTAGCTTGTGTGCATGTTGGGAATGGGCTGGGCCCGGGGCCAGAATTTCAATACCATCATAAGAATGGAATTCCCCGTCAAGATCCTGACCTCAAAGCGTGTCCCAGATCAGTGAGCCCCGCGGCCCACGCTGAAGCCAGCCCCAAAGCGCTCCAGGGGGAGGTTTTCATGGCCCAGACGACAGGAGATGCCCCGGCAAGGAGATCATAAAAAGCGCCATAAAAATAGTAAGGATCAGCCCCGAGTCCAAACCACAAACCAAACAAGGAGCACAGCCCCTGTCAGCAGGCATCTGTGGAAAAAGAAACCAGAGAATCGGTGCTTCCAGGAACCCGAGATGATAGAAAAACCAGGGGAAACGGTTCAGAGGACAGAGCAGGTCTGATAGAAATGCCACGATTAAAACTCGTTTTAAAAACAGGAAAGAAACAAGAAAATGACCCTAAACTGAAGAAAGACATGAATCTTGAAGAAAATGCACCAGATCCCAGGCAGGAACAAAGATGAACCCCCCGTTCCAGGGTGGGTCACAGAGAGACGGCAGAGCATCAGGAAGGGGGCCCCGAAACCACGTGGGACCAAGGAGACGCTCGTGCAGATATTTTCTGTTGAAGCAACAGTAGATCCCCAGCCCCGGCCATGGAACTGAGCTTCAGGGAGCCAAGTATGAACTATTGTCACCCTCAATTTTATACTCAAATGAATTTACAAAAATAAGAGTGAAATAGACATTTTCACGTAAAAAGAATAAGATTTACTTCTCTTCTAGCCTAACAAAGAATATCTACCCAAAAAATAACTAACAAAGAATTCTTAGTAAGAAGGGGGGAGCTGGGGTAGGATGTCAAAAGCAATCATAAGCAAAATAATTGCATGTGAATAAGTCCAAACAATCCATTTAAAATAATAATTAAAACAGTGATGACTGAATTTGTGTGTTCTGAAACACGATAAAAAAATAGATTTAAAAGTTTAAGAATTTCTATTGTTCTGGAGGATAATAGACGTACTAATTAGATTTCAATAATTAAAGTATGTCTTTGGCAACTTTAAGCATAACCCTTTAAAGAACAGAAAGGCAGAGTATAGAATTCCGAATAAGAATGAATAGAAATAGTGCATCCATCAGTAGAGAGCAGGAAAGAAAGAAGAAAAAGAACAGGGTAAAGAAAACAAAATAACAAGATAAAAAAGAGACAGCATATTCATCTCATTATTGTTCGTTAAAATAAAGTATCTCCTTAGAACTTAAAATCCAGCTGTGTAATTTTTACAAGACTCACACCCCACCCCCAAAACAAGATGCTTGTGACAGGAAAGGAATGGGAACAAGAAAGGACTGAAAATCTCAGCCCAGGAAAGCTGCCTTGGTCTAGGGACGTCAGAGAAGCTCAATCTTGAGGCAACCGTGTCACTACTAGGGACCAAGGGATCACAACGTCCTGATAACAGAAATCTCTCAAAAGGTCAGGAAAGACCAGGAAACTATGAGTACCAGCAGAAGAGTCTCCAAATATGTTTAAAAATAATTAATCTAGGTTAATTAAAGGTTTTTATAAAATGTAATGACCCCATTAAAAATATTATGGGCTGAATCTGATTTCCTTCTTAGTTATGTTTACTTAAAGAAAAAAGAGAAAAACTCCTATATCAATGGAACTCTTGAACTTAGCAATTTCAAGAGAAAAATTCTCTAAATATACAGTTGATATAACTTATTCATAATGCAAGACACTAAAAATACCTTGACACTCTCACAACAAAACAGGAGACTTAAATATATCTCTCTCGGAAATGGAGATTTTAAAAATGAGCATAAATTACGAGGAAGACAAAAGAATTATGAGAAAGCATTAGTTAAACCAAAAACTGCTCATCTGGGTATATTAATAAAACTGTTAACAAAGCATTTATGAAATTAATCAAGGAAAAAAATTCTCAAACAATTTTAGGGATGCTAAGAAGGATATAGCTATTGCTAAATAGAGATCCTTAAAATTGTGAGTCTTTATCATCATATTATTTTCTTAAAAATGTAAATTGTTAAAATTGGTTCACAAGGAAAAAAGAAAAATTTTAATCTTACTATATAAAGAAATTAAATTGAGTATTTTAAAATTCTACCCATAAAAATAATACCAGGTGAGTTTTACCAAATCTATAAGAAATAAATAGCTCCTGAAAAAAAGAAGCAAAGTTTTTAAAGTAGAAGAGGAACTAGCAAAATTAGAGAAATAATAAATAAAAAATGAATCTTTTGAAGTATGAACAGAGTTGCAAAAATTACAAGAAGTATAAACCCTCTACAGTGTGTATGTTAAAAATCCTTTAAGAAGAAAGCAAGGATCCGTAGCATTGAGCTATCTTCAAATGTCATTCTGTACATTAATAGCTTCAGATGAGTGGTGTTGTTATGCTTGGTGCTATTTCTTCTACTATAATATTATTAGCAATTATACTCTTTCATTTATAGGTTCTAGTAGCTTGTGTGGGTGGGGATGTTTCTGGTGTCTCCTCTCTGCCCCAGAGAGCCTCACAGAGCATGTTCATATAAGAGGTTTTCAAAAAATGATTCACCTGGCCATTTCAGCATCTGAGGTGATGCCATCCGGAATTCGTTCACGTACCCATTCATTCACCCAGGGCTCGTGGACATGGAACAAAATGTATCCTCAGCATATTAATCAAGGGAAAAATTCTACAGGAGAGGCATGGCATTTGAAAGACATAAAAGCAAGTATGTTTTCACTCACCTGCTATGATAAGAATGTGTGCAAAGGAACCGTTTTAACTCCTGGGAGTCGGTTCACTGAGGAAGGGACATTTATCTGGCTCTATAAAAGTGGGTAAAGAAGAGCGAGTTTGGCATGAAATCCTCAATCCTAAGGAGTTTGGACTTTCTCTTACTGTAAATCTGGGAACCAGGGAGAGGGCTCACACAGCAGAATGACGTGTTCTGTGCTTCGGGGACTCTGAGAAGAACGAGAAGATTGGGAGGAACATCACCGACAGAAGGCAGGATTTGCCAGGGGCCTGCTGTGGTCGATGAAGAGTCCATCCATAGGCGAGGCCTGGTGTAGACACAAGGGTCCAGATGCTTAGAGGAGCGGGAGAGGTCAGGCCTGGTGGTGGTGGGCGAGGGGAATGTCAGCAGGAGGGTGCTGCCTCCACCTAGCCCGGGAGAGGGGCAACGTGGACCTCACTAGTGCCATTGAGAAGCAGCTACTGGATGCAAGGCAGAGAGGACATGAGCCCTGGTGTGTCTGTGTCAGAACGGC